TCATATCAAATGAACCCGCTTGCTCTCATTCTTAGAAGCGCCTCTGGGCGAAATGTTTGCCTTCATCCAGCTCCACATGTCAGACACGTGCTTGGTCCCCAGCTTTCGTTCCTGGCTCGCACTGGTTCCTTCGATAAAAAGAAACCTAACGAACGCGAGATGGAGTCAGAGCATCTTCCGGATTGAAATGCTTAGGATCCGGTCCAGTCCTGTTCGGCTGTTCCGAATCCAATCCGCTCACCAATCTGCTTTCCCCGGATTCCTCAGTTCAGTCTGGTCCGATTCGTCTCACCGGAAAAATAAGATAAACTCCTGTCAACCCGCTTTCGTATTCAATACTTTTTAAAACTTCAACAGTAATGTTGGTTTAACTGAGCATGCTTAATTTAAGAAATGTGTGGATTTTCATTCAATAAAAATGTGCAATAAGTTGATATAAAACAGTGGGTGCTGAGCTTCTTACCACAGCTTGTTGCTAGAAAGGCGTGCGATTTTCCGTGAAGAATGGAACAAACAAGGCTAGTCGTGTTGTTAATCACATCACAGTTATGTTGCTTGATAATTCACAAGTACCACCTCACTGCGGTAGCAAAATCGCTTCTGGTTTCCCTTTCGGAATGAGAACATTGTCCAAGATTTTCACAATCCAGGGTAGGTGCAGCATGCCTATACATGTCACTACGCAGTTTTAGCGGCGCCTAGTTGAAAAGTGCAGGACGATAATTGTTTAGTATTCTTTCTGAATAGCTAGAGCCACCATCTAACCTCATATATGATACTTCAGGTGTGTATCCATCCTCGGACGCACCAACTGATGAAACAGTCTCAGCTGTGAGCATCACCTCATAACGGAAATATCCGAAAGCTATGTCTAGGTGTACTCGTGCATCGCACAGCTGCGTGAAATCACATTTACGCGGTCAAAAACCAATGTAGATATATCATACCATTATGCATTTTAGCTACTTTGGAAGGAATGGGAGCTCTAGTTTTCCATACCAGCATATCTGAGTGTCTCTCATTCATATCGAATTGACGCTGTGATCTGTTCGTTAGAAAAAATTTTTGTAGAATACGTAGCTGAGTGATGTTCTATGTAGCCTGTTCAGTGCATTGCTGAAAATTAAAAGTACTGTTAGCAAATTTGAAAATCCTTTCCGGTCCTAATCCATGTTTTGGTGAAAATGTCTGATCCCGTCCAACGCGGCCCGCGGATTGATCCCCAATCCGTGGACTGTTGATCAATCCGTGGATTGATCCAATCCGCGAAGTGCTCGAGACGGAACAGCCGTCGCATCGAGGACAGGCTGGCGGACACCGACAGCGTGCCCCGCCACGGACCACTGCGGCTGTGACAGATTTGGCGCGCCCAGCGCGGGGTCGTACTCGGCGCACTTTCGCCGTCTCCGGAGTGGCATTTGTTTGGTCGGGGAGCGAGCCGATGACGACGGCGTTGGGGAAGGGAGTAGGGGAGGGTGGGAGCAAACATACAACATCACCACTGATCACGAACAGGACTGATCGGAAGTGCCGGCTTTGCCATGTTTCTCACAGGTGCAGCTGCCTAATGAATTTACGATCTCTAAGTTGCATCCGCCGAGCAAATAAGTGAAATTCGAACCAATGCCTTCGCCAGATCGATGTACGAAGCTCCCGTCTACCTCCTCATGCAACCCGCACACCGCAGTAGCGGTGTAACCTAGATACGTTTTGTAGAAAAAATCCCACTAGTGTTCGCATTAGTCCAGGACATTATTGATCTTTAAAAGGTCAAGATGACGAAAACAACTGAAATTGTTCGGGAGTTGACTTAACTAACAGCAGCAAGAACTGCGGAAGACATGCACGCAGCTTTTCAAAAGAGGAGCTGATAAAGGTAAGTGCAAACAAATGGAAATCGTTCTGCTGTCTTTGTGGATTTGAACATGATTGTGGAGAACTAGACCATAATAATAATAATGCGGTTTGCTTGTTAACAACGTGTTTTTTACCTTGACATTATCTTTATGCCTGACATAAGGTTTCTTAGAAACCATCTTTAACAAGCGTCCGGGTTGCCTGCCGGATACCCTTCGCTCGGATGGGGGTAAATTTGACCCCACTGAGATCTCAAGAATTATGAAAGCTAGGGACACCAAATTCACAGGGTTATGTTAACCTATACGTGAACTCAATGAGGTCGAGTTTGAGGTTCCTAAGTGATGACCTTCAGGTCAAATAAGGTCAACCAAGGTTAAATCCTGGTTAGTCCCCCAAAATGCCCCAAGAGCATTGATGACTGTTTCTAAGCAAAAGGTCACATATTCATTTAAAATAGTTGACCTTGTTTGACCTTTGTAAGGTCATGGTGATCAAAAAACTACAAGACTGGCTATGAGTTTTGAATTTGAATAAGCGATGAAGATAACGCTAGGCAGTGTGCTCCTAAAAAACAAATGTTGACCCGGGTCATTTAGCTCTATGACCTATTCTGACCTCAAGAAGCCCCATTAAAGATGTAGAATGCGGTTCCTGCTATCAATAAATTCGAAATGAATACTAGAAGCTATCCCATATAGCAAGTCCTAGAGCAATAAAACAGGTTGGTTTTGACATTGGTCTGACCTTTATACCTGACCTTAGACCAATGCAATTTGCTCATTTAGTTGTTTTGTTGTCTAAGAAAGCATTTCAGAGATGTATGGCTTTGTCTAAAACTCCTTTGTTGGATCAGATTGAAGGATTCCCTAGAAATTGCCTTCGCTGAAACCATGGTCTAACTCTGACCTGCCATAGACCAGCGACCTTACAAGATGCATCTAAATTTATTTTCACCAAACGATCCGCTATTCAATTGTCTACAGCTATGCAAAATTTGGCGCGGCTGCGCCGCGCCGTTCGGAAACCATTCTGGAAAAACATTTGTGGAGGGTCATTTTGACCCCCACCCGAGCGCATGTTAAGTAATGCGCGATGCCTGTTAACTTAAAATCGCTTGCATGTATAATTGATGCGTGATATCTGTTTGCTTGAATCCGCCTGCATGCAGGCTTTTTTTCTTGCACTTTAACTTTTAGTTGGATAAACACTGTATTGCAGTAATAAAAAGCAATAGTAGTAAAGTAAAGCAACTAGCATGAAGTAACCGCCACTGCGTTGGCGGTTGCTTCATGTCACATTCCCATAGGAGGGGGTCAATTTGAGCCCCCCCCCCCACACCCGAGCGCGTGTTAAGATTGCATGATGTCGTCAGCACTCCGCCGTCGCTTTAGACTGAACTATTCCCTAGGAATTGCATTAACTGTTAACCATGACCTGACTTTAAACTGCTGTAGGTCAGTGGTCTCACGATGTACATATTTTGTACCAAAAAGATGGGATATTCATTTGCTTGCATTTCTGGATAATTTGGCGCAGCTACGCCCCACCGCTAAAAAGGGTACTTAAGAGGGTATTATATTCGCCAGACGTGTTTGCCTTTAGGTTTATTGGTAAATGTTAAGAACATGTGTTTGGCAGCGTCGAAAACACCATGTCACTGCCAATGGTCGTGTGCTCAAACAAGTTTTTGAAAGATCGATTTACAGAGTTCCGTAGCACAGACCACGGAGGAAAAAGGCCCATGGAGCTGACATCTGACCGCACTGCGACATGGCGAGCGATGGCCACCAGCTCTTGGACAGTCGGCGGCCAGCCTCGGCCCGGGGCCACGGGTCGATTGTCTCAGGACCGGTCGGCTCGTGGCCCCGGGCGCGGCCGCTTCCGCCGACCGACGCTCGCACGATAAAGCCTGACGATTTGTCGAGCCGAGAGCGGTTCCGTCGCGCCGCGAGCGCCCGCCGCCTGTAAAATATTCGCGCCCGACGGCGCGGCCGGACGCGCACCGTTCGCCGCTGACGGATCGCCGCCGGACGGCCGCCATAAATCCCGGCTGCCAGATCAGACCACGCTGCCAGATCAGGCGGCGCTGCCAGATTCATCTGCATAGCCCGGCCCGAGAAGACGCCAGTGCCCGGGGCCGCGGCAACCCCTGGGGTCTGCTTGGCCCCTGGCGGCAGCACAGTAACATGGTTGCATAACTTGTCCCCTCAAATAATTAGCTCCGGTTATCCCGCCGGTCACCACTCCGCCCGCTCCCCAGGCCATCGGTCGTCCCCGCCCAGAACATGGGCTCCTGGTGGCGCCCCTGGGCACGAGCTCCGGCGTCCGGCGTCAGCGCGCGGCGCGATGGGGCCGCCGGATGCGACGAGCACGGCACGCATCCGAGACAGCGCGACAGATCCGCCATCAGCGCACTGGGACTCCGCGGGCTGTTGCCTGGCGACGGCCGCCAGGCGGACTGTGGCTGTCGGTTCGTGCAGCCATGCGTACGATTCCGATCGCGCTGCTAGCTAATGGTTCCGTGACAAGATCTCATCCCGAAACTTGATCGCGGCGTGATGAAAATGTGGCCAATTATCAGGCGACTCTTGACGGTGCATTTCCAGCAACACGCGACCGACTCATTCACCATGTAGCACGACTTTCGCACCCAGCTCTGAGCCTCACACATTGGTCGAGAAGTTGGCGCGACTCTGGGCTGACCTGTCGGTCGGACTAACGCCAGTTTCGGATGTGACAAACCAGCACAACTCTGGGGTGTCCACCCTCGGGTGGTGAGCGTTGACGTCTTGGCCACCTCGTTTCCGAGAAACACTTGGGGCGTGCTAATGGCCCAATTATTCACCCAGAAAGACTTATAACCTCTTGTGTCGTATACAGCAGTTCCCCATGGGAAATCCAAGCCCACGTGTCGGAGTCGCCTTTTCGGCACAAACAAGTTACAATACACATGGCCAGCCGGGAGAGCAACAATACAGGATTGCCGTTGTAGAGGGCTACAGCGACGCCATGATTACATGAATGAAAGATGCATTATTCATGCGCTTCGATGCTATTTGAAGCTCTTCAAAACCCTTCTCAAGGCTGCAAAGCTGCGTGGCCCGACTTGAGCTGCATGTATAAACTAGACGTGCTCAAGCGCCCACGTAAAGTACGACGTCATCCAACAACGCATTGTGCACCCAGGAATAACACCGACATGGCGAGTAGGGTGTTTGTGTATTGTAGGCGGTGCCGACAGGTGACCCCACCTGCGTGCACGGCCTGCTGGGCTCGAGCCGGGCCAGCTGGCCGGACCGCTGCAGGTCACCTCGTCTGCGTGCGCGGGCTGCTGGGCTCGAGCCGGTCCAGCTGGCCGGACCGCTGCAGGTCACCTCATCTGCGTGCGCGGGCTGCTGGGCTCGGGCCGGGCCAGCCGGTCTGGATTGTGCAGTCGCCTCACCTGAACACCGGCGCGTCAGAGCCGTTCCTGTACCACAGCACGATGAGCACCGTGTCTCCGGCCGGGTGCGTCATGTTGCAGGGCAGCGCAGCCTCGCCGCCAGCCAGACCCAGCACCGTCGTCACCGGCACTGCCAACAGAGTACAGCCGGCAGGCTACAGAAGACGCTCGCCACTTCAGCGGGTCTTACGAGAGGCTTTTCCAAACAGCGATGCTCACGCAGCACTCCTGCAACACGTATGGCCCAATGGAAACGTTCACATTTCCGCTCACCGACCGTTTCTCAAGCTCTGTCAAGCACTGTGTTTCTCAAGCTCACGTCATACTGTCTCTTTCTCAAGGTCACGTCAAGCATTCTGTTTCTCAAGCTCGCGTCAAACATTTTCTTTCCAAGTCCGCGTCAAGCGTTCGCTTTCCTTAGCTCCCGTCATGTATTCGAGGGACGCTTTTGCGTTTGCCGGGCGTTCCACTGAACGGAAAGCTGGGGTTGAAATACGAACGCCGGCCTCATAAACACTGGTGTAAGTCGACGGCACGGCGACATTCATGGGAAGGGACAGCGCTCGTTGGCAGCACTCGCTCGCCCGTTCACGACCGCTGTGAGCGGTGTAACAATTAAAAAGCACGCGACCTGTAAGTACCAGCCGCGGGGCCGTGCGATGGGGCGCACTTTACATTGAGAGGGGCCTGCTGGCGGCCGCGGCCCAGCGTCGGTCAACGGCGGCGTCTACGGGCGCTTAATGCACCGGCCGTCGTGGTCATTATGGCTGGCGTGTGCCGCTGTAATGAAGGTGGCAGATTCATCGACGCCCCGGCACTGCTTCCGTGGCGCCAGCCGGGGCCGATTCGTCACCTCCTGCCCCCCTCCTCCTGCCCGGCACCCGACGCAGCAGCACGGACAGATGAACACCGGGCATCTGGCGGTGGGATCAAAGGATCCGGCGGCGATCAGTGGCAAATACCTTTTGTCAATATGCCCTGCGCGGGAGCTTGGCACGGCCGATTGATTTCATGGGACCAGTCAATAACGGGCTGGGGTTCGGACGGCTCCGGGAAACGAGCCGGAAATGTGCAACCAGTTCTGAGCGAGTTCAGGGCAGATTCGGTTCCAGATCGCGCTCACATGACGCACAGACACTGGCCTGGAAGCGGCACGGTGGCGACGGCGAACACTTTTCCCGAGTCCCGAGCGAAAGGGCTTTACCATCGAGAGCCGATGCCGAAGCCTGCCCGGCGAAGCCCGCTCGCGTCCACGCTGGGCGAGCGTTTTTGCGCGGCCCGTGTGGCGGCCGCGGCTCGCGGCGGCGTCTCCGGAGAGCGCGTGCGGCCGCATCGGCAGCCGGCCGGCTGAGCTGCGGCAAAAACGAGCCGCCGCCGGCCGCAGAGCGAATCAGGCCGGGCCCGCCGGCGGCCGGGCGGCCGGCCAGTCCGCAGCGCCCGCCGCTCGTTTATCAATACATATGCTGCCCTCGCGAGCCATCCCGCCGAAGGAGAGGCCGGCGGCGCGCTGGCAGCATGATTGAAGACAAAAGTTAATTGCCCGAATTTCCGAAACGCTTTAGATATATCGCGTAATCAGTCTGGTCGCGAGATTAATGGCACGTCTCCGCTCGCGCTGTCTAATGACAACGAGGAAGCAATGGCGGCAAATTCAAACCATGCGTCATTTTGCAATGATGTATGACTGCATTTATGGCCGCATTTGCTGGTATGAGCTGCCTAATCATCTGGACCATTTTAGCTGCTGTTTGCGAACGACCAGAAGACGAGCATTGGTGTGTGCCGCGGAGGAAATGGATGCACGCGATGCCAATGCATTTATCAATGATAAGCCGTACACAACAAAGAAATCAAGCCGCCAAGAGCACGGATAATAAATACAGCGCTACACCCAGAAAAAAATATTCCAGATGCTTGCTTTCAACGTGTTGAGCCAAGATCAGGTGGAGATAGTATGGCTAACCGGGCAAAGTATGGCTACCCTATCGTCTGTCTCTGTGGGCTTTGCTTTGCTGGGATGTATGCAAAGATCATCCGCAGCGTGTCAATAATTGCCGTCTATTGCAGGTGACGGAATGCCATCGCCACGGAAGGTTTCGAAAACTTCGGTGGGGCGGGTCAGCTGGGTTGGATTAATCGGAGGCAAGGGGTTATGCTAATGATCAGCTGCTGTCAAAGAAGATTCTCTGCTTTGGGCGAGCTATTACGAAAGAAACCTTCCGCGCCAGCGTGCTCTTCGCTATATTCCTGTTCTACAATTGTCCGGGTTTTTAAGTCTGGGTCAAATGAGTGGTGACTCAAGCGGCGGAAATATCACTACAGGCCAGAATGTTATTATGTATTATGCATCTTCCAACAATCACTATCTACCATTTGGAAAAAAAATATGTGGCTAGACACACTGCCGCATTGATAATTGGCTAATATATCAAACTATAACCAGTTTCTTCTTGGGTCAGCTTTTTCTCTCTGAGGTGAAGCTGGGTCGTTCAGTCAGCATGTTTTTATTTGCCACATAATGCAAACATCGGTGCTTTGACCATCGGATAAACGTCGTTTTTCCGCATTGTCTCCGACGGTAACGATTTCGGTAAGGTGCATGTACCACTTAGTGTATCAGCCTGTCTTTGAAGCTCAACATTTCCTCCATCTGCCGTTGATGAGCACCCATATTACAACAGTATAAGAACAAACGACTCAATATGCCAACTGTTCCAGACGGCCAATATCTACAAAACATGCAAAGTGTGTGCCAGGTGAAGCAAAACTATGTTGTCATTTATTCGGTTCTAATAATAACACAAAAGTGATGTTAAGTAATAGGGAGCAAGATGCTCGTACCGACGTACCGTATTCAATTTGTGCTAGGCACATTTTGTGACTTCATTTTCCTGCATTACGCATGGTTACAAGGTTAATTTTAAGGGCCAATCGCATACGGTGTTATTGAGTGGCAGCTATACTAAACAGTTGTATTGTGGTGATATATGGTTGTCATAAACAGTCATCTACAGTTGTATTGCAGCAATATACAGTTATCATAAGACAGTCATATGCAGCTGTCGAATTACAGTTGCAATGTCAACAGTCCCAACGTCAACATTTGTAAACAGTGAGCCGTCCACAGTTTCAGTTGTATGCAGTGAACATGTCACTTGTATGTGATATCAAGACCAACAACTCTGTGTATATCCTACGCATTGATCTGTAGTTTAAGATTATGATGTTGCAGGACCTTTGCAAGATTAGTGTCCCAACGCATACATGTGCCCATTAGCAAAGCGAGATGCCAAATGAACAATCACCAATGCAGTGTGTCTGCGCCAATCTTAGCGCAACCTGCTTTTAATGGTTTTTACCTATTTTTCATTTTTTGACTCAGCTTAGCGAGTTCTTAGTCTCCAATCAATAAGGTCGGACGCTGCTGACGTCAAAATTTATTGCTGATAACAAGGAGCATGGCCCAATTGACAGCAAGTGAACTTTATTGTTCATCTTGCGAGAAACCTCACTAACGTGACTTTCAAAAATGGGCCGAGAGTCATAGCCATTTTGGATAGGTCATCACTCCTCGAGAGAAAATGTTCAAAAATGACAGGAGTAATGCAAACGTCATGCAAGTTACAACTGAAAACCAGCCTGGCGCATCAAGGGCTTGCAAATTCATTCAAGAGGTTATTTAGGAGTACATATAGGAGGAATTAGACAATTGCATCAGTAGGAATATGGACATCATCGTTGGAAACAATCGCTTTACTGACAAAATATATATTGCTGCTGTGTAATGATCTAGTTCCACCATACCTTGATCGTTATTGCGTTTTCTGGTGTGTCAATTATTATACTAGATTCAAGACGTTAGTGATTCTGCAGAAAAGGGCGATAAGAATGATCAGAAATATTTTTCCACCTCATTCCTCAGAGCCAACCTTCAAGCAACATTTAGTCCACAAGTTATGCGATCTCGCAAAATACCAAATGTTCGTTGTGTGGCATACATTTTTGATGAAGCAGCTCGTCAACAGCTTTAATGACATGTTTGGAATGGCATAACATTACGCACACGAGGCATAGCACCAACCACATGGAGAACAACCATTTTGATATGAAAACGACACATCATTTACGATTGTCTGTATTGGACAAAATTATGAAACCATATTTTTTAGATGCTTCCCACCATTCACCAAATTTTCAATTTCAAATTCATGATAAAGAAGTTAAAATGACTCCATTTTATGTCTAAATTCCAGAACCTTTATTTCTGATGAGAAATTAGAGATAGACTGATGTCAACATCTCCAGCGAACACGGTACAAAACTCATATTACGGGTGACTGACGTGACCACCCATTACCCGGCGCTGGCCCCTGGTCCCAGCCAGCACCAAGCTTGCGCTTAGCTGTTTGGGCTTACAGGACGACCAGCGTGACCAACGCATGCATTTCAAAATAGTTTGCCCAGACCATGCATGCATGCAAAAAGCGATACTAGTCCTACATATAATGTTTTGGCACCGGAAATGGGTTAGTAACCAGTTGAATGACTACGTTTAGCTATGAATACGTTCTGCTCTCTTATAAAGGGAATGCTTCACATTTCAAGATATTTAAGCAAGATTCAGATATGATGTAATAAGCCAACTTACAACTGTTGACATTTTTCAAGTCGAAAAGACTAAAAAGCATGCCAATCTTGTAAGTCTTTCAACTATCCCAGAAAAACGTACTTCACGCCATCTTCACATCTTCTTGTGACATCTTCGCGGGCATGTAGCTCAAAAACTGGGTGGGTGGAGGGGGGGAAAGGTATTAAGAGTAACAAGACTGGGAAATGCGCTGAATGATCTTCACGATAACTCTTTCAGTTCAAAACATCCTACAGATGTGAAACACTCTCTTATAGTTTTGATGTTGCTTGGCTGGGGTGGAGCATTCCTCGTTGCCTGATCACGTGACAGAAAACACCCTCAGGGAGTGTGCCAGTCAGGCACTGTCCTCACCGGGAGAGGTTCATTAAGCAGAGCAATCTACTGAAGTGCAGATACAGGTGGCATGTCAGTTGACACGCGCTCGGGTGGGGGACTCAATCTGTCCCCCGTCTCCCGAAGAGTTTGCCAGAATGATTTTA